GTAATTAAAGATCATGGGCGACAACCAGAAATCGCCGATAATAAGCGACTTGACTTTTCCTTTTCATATGGCCAGACCCCGAGATTAAAAAATAGAATTATTAGTTTTAAATTTTTTTAGTTTTTATTAACATTTCTTAACACAACTTTAACTCAACCCCTGAAGGTCACAGCCTATGTGAAAACTTTCATCGTCTTTCCTGGGCTAACGGCACAAAAGTAATTGACTAAACAGACATTACGGAAAAATTAATTTGAGAAAAACTGGTATGTGGGTCGTTCTTAAAAAACATGACCAATTGGTGTCCCCAGACTTTACTATTTTATATTTTGTTTCTTCAAAAAGAAAATAGAAAAATATCTGCATTTTTATAAATTATTATCGATTCTACGTAACTATATTATAAAAAAAAAATAATTAATTATCTGAAAATAACTTAAAAAATATTTTCAATGTCAAAGGTTTAGCAAAAACCTGTGTCCCGAGCCAATTTATAAAAATTTAATAGTTATTTTCAGTTGAAATAAAATTGAAAAAAAATAATATTTACAATTTTTGTTATTCAGTTTGTGTATATTAATACCATATATAGAAAAGAATGATGAAAAATAATTTTTTTGTATAATTTTTATGAAGAAAATTTGTGTTCCCAGGTTTTGGTCCCCTCTGTTACGTCCACTCATTTTATTGAAAAATGTTTGTTAAACGTTATGACGCGTATATTTCTCTTATGCTTCTCCATCATAACTTAGCTAAAATCAACAAAATGTGTTTTGAACTGTTCAGTCTTGTTTAGTGCGTTGTTGAGTAAGGAACCCAATTGTATGCCGGGTACGTACCCTTATTCAGTGTCAACTCTGTTACTGTTGAAAAACGGTGAGTAAAGTGATTTTTTATTTATTTTATAATTTTTTTATAAATATTTTATGTACATTAATTAAGTGGACAAATAAATTCTCCAAAATTCGAATAAAAAGCTAAAATATGGTATTTTTGAGTTAATTTGTCCCCTCTGTTACCGGTCCACTCTGTGACTTATTAACTCCAAAAACTCCAAAAATTAAAAAAAATACTGCTGGTTATGGATTCCTATTGTTGATACCATCCGTAACCACATGAGGCCAATTATAAACATATTTGGCCAACTTAATTTTTAAAAATTACAAAATTCAGAATGGTCATGTTTTTTAAGAACGACCCATGTACTATATTTATGCATATGTAAGTTCCTTTGGAGTCAAAATGAAATTGATGCATTAAAAAAAAAAAAAACATTTGCATAAAACCTTAGAATTTTGTGGCAAACCCTAAGCACCGAGATTCGATCGGAGACCCCAGAATCTCAGGGTGAAAAATCAAATCTGGCAACCCTATGTACAGTCAAGTTAGGGTTAAAAAATTGGCAATTTTCCAAATTTTAGCATGATAGTCAATTCTTTGTTAATACTGTGCGACTGGTCACTAATATGTATGTTAAATTTGATTTGCGAGACTCGGAAAGAGGTAGCTAATGCCAGTGACTTATTTTTATTTCGAAATAACCATGTGGTCAGGTTTGTCAACCGAAAGAAACCGTCAAACTAAAATTTGGATATCAAATGGTTTGACACACACAAAAGGGTATATATACTGCGATAACAAAAGTTGGTCTTTTATTGTGGTTTTGCAAAATATTTGAAGCAACCCTCGTACAAGCATAATATTTTAGCTTAATGCTTCTAAATGATTCCGCCTAAATGTAGGCAAAAATATACACTTCGTATTTTATGGCTATAGAACACTATGGACAGATTTTGACGCCTATAACTGCTACGTAAACTATTCATAGCTATTTAATAAGAACTTATTGGGCCGCCGGGACGATAAAAAAAACACCTTCCAAATAAATTAGGCTTAGTTTCTGAAATTGCTAACTTAACCACAAAGATGGCTCAAATGGGGTTTGTAAATGTAGAGCTAAAATTGTGAAAATCTTATTCAGTGGCGGCAATGTTAAGGCGCCCTATATGGTCAATCAGTTTGATCAAAATCTCTGCCAATGGATTGAATCAAGCAATATTGACAACTAAGAACCCCATCTATGCTTCAGCCAAGCCTTCAGGTGATAATAGAAGTTTGAAAAACTCATGTGGTTGCGAGTGTGCTGGACCGACCGTCAGTGTAATGGAAAGTCCCTGAGTTGTAGGAATCGTTTCACGCATCTTTTATCCTTTTTCCTATTTTGAACCGTACCAATAACGGTACAAAAATGTAAACGCTTTCACCACATAGCGCTTTCACATTTTATGTTCTTGGCCGTAATTCTTCGAGAACAATTCGTCGTCGCCGCAGTAACTGTCAATTCTCAACGCTATGCCGCACAATGACAAATATCCGGAAAAAATTCTCGCCGCGGCGCTAGGATAACCGTATGAGTGATTTTTTTTTTTAATTTTTCTTAGCTTTTTTTTATTTTCATTATCCTGGTTACATTTTTATCAGAAATTTACTGGTACAACAAGATGCTAAATCCGAGAGTCGTGTCGAATGTAAGTCGTTTTTCGAGAGTCGAATCGTATCGAAAATTTCATGCCATTGCCTAAAATTTCCACTCGACTAAGTATTAAAACGGAAAAACTTGGCAGCCCTGCAAGTTTTCAACCATTCGATGACATAATCGAAAAAATACAATAGCAAAATCGGTAAAAATATCGAAACAAAATCGGAAAAATGTCGATACAAAGTCGAAAAATATCGATAACAAAATCAATAAAATACGATAACAAAATCGATAATATCGATAACAAAATCGAAAAAATATCGATAACAAAATCAAAAAATATCGATAAGAAAATCGATAAAAATATCGATAAATTATCGTATCGAAAATATGTTCATAAATATATCATTAAAATTTCAATTCGATAATGGGCAGGATTACGAATTCATAACGAAGGGAAAATACATTGGAAACGAAGGTTCCGTTTCGTTATGAATTCGTAATCGCCCTTATGATGAAATTAAAGAGAGAGTGATTCTCTTATATTTCCCTTCGAAAATGAGCTGGATTTCACTTCCTCTCTGTTACTATGGTTTTCATTTTTTTTTTCGAACCCTCTAGAAGGTATTTCCAATACACTATGAACCTTGGAAAACTATTATGAGGCAGTCATTGCATAACGGTCATTTTCGAACGTTCGCCAAAATGTTTATAGGGTGGGTACCAAGTACTGAGTATTTTTTGTACTTCGATATGTGTGTGCAAGTATTTGATGGGTAGATATCGAATACAAATTGCAAGTATTTACTTAATTACTAAATTTGTGAATATCAACTGAAAATAAGTCTGTGTTATATATTATGAAAAACGACTTACGACGTGGACGACTGTATTTTGCTGGAGTTATAACTAAAAGAGTGCATAAAAGTGGAGAAAAAAAGTATTAGCGAATTAGAGGAGGATGTGAAGCCAGTCTTGAATCAAAAACAAGAAAACGATTAGCTTTCCCATTAGTTACGTATCCTGTTTAAGCACTTCCCAGTAACACTATTTCAAAATTGGAGGATATTTGAAAGGGCATCTTTCACTTTAGTCTTGCGTTGTTGCGTCGTCGACAGTTTTCCAATGCAGGACTACAATTTCCCAAAAAATCGCCTTTCTCCACCTTATGGACCGTTATATTGTTAACGGTCATTGAACTCAAATTTTTCATTCGAGTACTTTTGAGTATAAGTAGAAGCGAGTATACTTTGAGTATCATCGAATGAAATTTTCGTTTTTTATCTTTGGATACCTGGAAATTACCTGAAAACGAACACGAGGAGAAAATTTAGTGATATTGCTTTCAACGTATTTATAATCATAGTCCAAACTTTAAGTGCTTTCATGAGGAGAGAATGAATAACCCTAGATAAGACTATATGTAGTATATATATGAAATATAATGACATTTTCCGCACAAGCTTTCAATTTGCAATCCTTCTATTTACATATAAATATTGCTTAAAAATAACGTTGATTAGCAATTGCCTTATAAATTTCAAAATATATACATACGTACATATGTATGTATTTTTATAACGATTGCACTCAACTACCTGTGTGTTTTTTTTTGAACTTTTTGAACTCTTTTAATATTTCAGTGTATGCAGTAGTGATAATCGCAAAACAATAAACTCCAGCAAAAGTGCATAAGATTAGGAGATTAAACGAAAATATCAGCATACAATCATATGCACATATGTACATATAGGCCTATGGGCAACACATGGGCATGCATGTCTACATACATACATACATACATACATAAATATGGATATCTACTTGTCCAAGTGCAACATTTATTACCACTTTATACGTGCCGGCGGAACACACGTACACGTAATCCGTAATCCTCAAAGTGTACACGTCGGCAAGCGTATCGAAAGCTCACATCAACGATGTTTAATTGCTACATATGTAAGTACAAATTCACATACGCGCTCCAATACTAGGGTGCCACAATTGGCGCAATCGAGTAAGTTGTTGTGCGAAATGAGCTTTCCCCTTGTGCGCCAAGCATTGGAGCTTTTTTGGCCAGCTGATCGACACAATGAACTTTGTTAAATTCAACGCTGACTTGCGATTTGAATTCAGACCGCAATTTGCTATTCCGGTGGAACAACGTTGATCGTGTAAGTTTATAATAAAAAAATAATATGGACATACATACGTTACAGGTTTTGATATAAAAGCAAGCGGTGTTTACAATTGATCCACACAAAGTTGTACTATAAACTAGTACATACTTACTTACTTACTTACATTGCAAGGCACATCATACGTTGTCCACTTTGTGAACTGTAGCGCGGCAAAAAAAAAATATATATGTATATATTTGAGTGCTTTTGTGTGTGTGTGTGTGTGTGCTTTGTTGCATGTGCAATGTAATAATTTTAATAGAAAGAGTTTAATTTAAATAACGATTAAATTGTGTGACAAATAATAAGTGAACTCTACACATGTGCATAGAATGACAATGGGTTAATTCATGTTACTGTTACATTTCATTTTTTTTATGAGTTTTTTTTTATTTTTTTTGTTGGCTCATTAAAGTACGTAAATACATTTAGCTACAAGTTAAGCACTGCTGCTTGGTACACAAATATGTACGTATTTTTGTATATAAGTTTCATATATTTACAATGTGTTTTTGCACATTTTAGCACTGCGCTGTTTGATAAATATTTATTTAAAATGCATTTAGCTTTGGTTTACTTTGCCCGCCTGAACTTTCGACCCTTAAATACAAATGTGCAATACTATGTGTATTCGTACATATGTATGTATGTACGCCTATGTAAATACATATCCTCGTTTAAAGTACAAAATCGCGTATCGTCGTTCTGCAAAACCGCGTAACTGACATTTTTTGCCAAAAATTGGATTTGCTCACACAAGCACTTTGCGCAAGCCTTATTTATTCGTCCTGAAATATATTAGCCAGAAATGCGATTGCTTTATAAAAAAGAGAACCATCTAGAAAATAATTTATGCAACCTCACATACGCGGTTTTGTACTTTAAACGACAATATGTTGGTTCCTATGCATGTATGTATGTATGTACGCAGGTATAATGAGTTTGACATTACGTGCTCGTAACTTCTTATTTTGTTTTTTTCTATTTCCAAGTGAACTGTGTACTACGAATTCTGTGTCGATTCTAGTTTTTGTGCATAAATTTTAAATGCATATAAACGTTTTTATTATCTTTATTGTACATTTATAATTAAACTATGTAAAAAGGTTTTCGAGAAAATTTAAAATAAAATCCAGTTTGTCAAGATTACTTGAAAAAAAACAAAAACAATTACATACATCCTTATAAAATTTTAAAGCTTTTGACGCTAGCGCGAATCATTTGATGACAAATAAAAATGGACTTTAATTGCCTTTAAGAAAATTGTTTATGGAATTACACTACACAACAAAATCAAACTTTTGTCCAAACTGCAAGGTTTCCGACCAAGGATGCTGGTAGAGGGGACGAAAAACACTTCTTTTATCGACGCTTTGACAGTTTACGTCTGAGTTATATTTTCTTCTTCTTCATATTTGGCGCTGTAACCGCCTAAGCGATTTTGGCCAAGTTCAAAAAAGCACGCCCAGTCGTTCCTCTTCTGTGCCACCTGATGCCAATTGGAAATGCCAAGTGAAGCCAAGTCCTGAGCTGATATTATAAAGCCAACTTCATTATCTGCGGTAGGGTCAATGATTTCATCAGAGCACATCAAAAACCGCCAAACCGTTACACATATAAGCACTTTATAGAAGGATTGGGATTAGGTTTCGAAGGAGGACTTAGCGAAGATGCAAGCGGACATTGAGTAGACTTGAAGGTGAAGCGCCAGTGTAGAGAAACAAAACGCTAAAATAGTAAAAGATCAGAAGAGCGTGGGTCAAGTCATGTAAGAGACGTAAGACAAAAGCAATGGACCAGCCAGAATCTTCAATGTCAAAGCCACATTAGCAAAAGTAGAGTTACACCATTTCCTTCGACCGATATACTCTATTTTCTTGTAAAAGTTCTCTCACTAAATAAGCGCCTTCTCTTTGCAAACCTTTGGCGAGCATTCTTAGGTCCCATTCCATTCATTTTCAAAATAGTATACCTTTTTCTCTTATTGATCATCTCAAACTATTTCAGAGGGGGCAAGTTGCTGTTGTAGCAAAAAGTTTCACAAAAACTCATCAAGCTTATCGAAAAGATAGTTTTTAAAAGGACTAATCAAGGAGAAGAAAAGGAATGAAAACTTGATTGGAGCAAATATTTAGTAAACTAAATTTGTTTTGAATTCATTTTTGATTGTTTTTTAGTTTTATTTTTACTTATTGGATGAAAGTATAATGCGATTTTTTATTTCATTTAATTTTGGATTATGTTATTAAATTTTTTTTTAGTTAGTCTTTATTTTTCATTTGTAACAAAAAAAATTAATTTTTAATTTTTTCCAGCTTAATAGGTAATCTAAATACTGTTATTTCATGGGTAATTAAACCACGCGGGTCCGCTACCTGTTATTAAAGTTTAATATAAGCAATAGAGATTTTAAAATTGATATCACCAGCGTCGTTTACGTTTTGCAGTATTTATTCGCATCTTTGTCATCGCTGACTTATTATTATCATTTACTCATTACACCAAACAGTAAACCGGTCTTCCAAATTAAGCTACAAATTTGGATTGCTTGCTTTATGTACTCAAAATGTATGTTATGAACAAAATGTACGCGTAAAAAGACATAGGTACATACATACATATGTACATGCAAAAAAATTACAATGATTCAAAAGTAGGTACAGTTAATAAAAAACGACACAAAATTCAATTGAGACCCATTCATAACAATAAATGATGCGAGATTCGTAACTGAATATATATGTATGTAGGTAGGTAGATAGGGAGTCATAAAAATCAAAACATCAACGAAATTACAATTCAACATTAGCACACCTTCAGCTTCAATTCAATTACCAACGCTGCACAGTGGGGCAGAACTTGCCTAACGTAAAAACAATAAAATGTATGAGAGGGTTCATTGGCAAAGTGCGAGTAACCTAGAAAACTGGAAAAAGCAGTAGAGAAATAATCGGTAGAGAAGAGTTACAAAAACGAGCTACAGAAGGTGGCGTAAGGGCATTACGCCCGACCATATAACTTTGTCGCTTTTACGGATAGACTATAGAACTCTAACTAAGTAGTTTACTGGCAAGGCACTGTCTACATGCGGCACGCGCATTCAAAGTAGGCATCACTGCTAGCGACGAATGTAGGAAATAGACGTTGGCCAGGAGCCAACGAAACACTGGAGCATCTCCGATACTTATGTCCGGCGCTGTCATTCAAAACTATGCCTACTATGAGTCTAATTAGAGTATTGATCTTCATGTGTGGTCGTATGGGGCCAAGTGACCTATAGATTAACATAATAGAATTCATTTCCTGCAATGGAAAGTCCTCCATGTTTCCGATGTCTTCGCGTAGATCATGACAAGCTGAAGTCCAATATTTTTTTTTAATAAATAATTAAGTTTAGATGTGATATTAATATTTGTGTGTGCTTTTTAAATGAGTAATCAATATTCAAAATTGGTAACGCAAATTCGCGAAGGAGAAGTTTTTGGCCTCTGCCCAGGCCGATAAAAGGCTGTAGTGCCACGCAGAAGCAGAAGAAGATCTAAGAACTGTGCCATGTGTACATGCGATTCAAAGAAGAAAAATCGTGCACATTTTTTTACAATTTCGTACAAACTTTTTTATGTAGGTTAAATGTATTCAATTATTGCTCACGCTCAACTCACTGTACGTCAACATCGCTACAAGCATGCTAGACAAGCCACTTACACCGGCTTAACATGAACAACGCATACAAGTAATCAAATTAAATTACGGACTTAGAGAAAGTTTTATAGAAGTGCGAGCACACGCATATTACGTAGTTAGTCAGCTAAGTTCACGGTAACAACGGTATTTATGTAGATATGTATGTTTAATGCAATTACAGTTAAACTCAAAATGTAGGCCTATGAAAATTTTGTTTTATAATTCCAAACATGCATAAAATTTGGGCTAAAATGTGGTCAATAGAGCGCTGAGGAAAATACAAGCAAAAGAGGAGATGCTAAAGTATTTAACATTTTATACTATACACTTAAATACTAGATATTCAAACAATAAAATCCTTAGTGTTCTTAAAAAAATACTCTTGTCTTTTATGCATTTAGCATTGCAAGCTTTTGGCCAAGCTTCTCCATAATAACAAGGCGATTATTTTCTGCCCCATGGTACTTATAAAAAAAAAACAAAACTGTAATATTCATTGTACGAAGGAGATATACATATATGTATACATATGTTAACACGTTGAAGGTCAAAGGAGGCATTTCAACTTCTTTTTCTTTCGAACTTAAATGCATTTCCTCTTCTGTGCACTTTATCATGGCCTGACCTTGAGAATGAACTCAAAATATTGAAGTTCATGTGCCTCCATATATAGGTCAAGCGCAGACACATACAAGGTTAAACAGTGACTTCAACGTTAACGCAAGTTAGTGTAAAGTTTATTTACAACGCTTTAGCGATCAGGCAGCGAACTTATTTCATTATGACCACATAAAAAAAAAATTGATTTGCAACCTTTTACTTTTCATAAAAAATACAATGTAATAATTTACTCTTCTCCACTCTACTTTTAGCTAAATAACGCGAACCCTGACATCACACTCACAGCAAAACATGTCACTCGATGAGGTAGTTATTAAATTATGATGCTATAAAATCTTAAGTGCTTGCTATCTTATTGATTTTCTGTTTCCTCGTTTTTTTTTATTTTCAGAAATTCAATGCCGCTGCTGAGAAGGTAAAAACCTTTACCAAACGCCCCACCGATGAGGAGTTGCTGCAGTTGTATGCGCTCTTTAAACAGGCCACCGTCGGTGACAACAACACATCCAAGCCAGGTATGCTGGACTTAAAGGGCAAGGCCAAATGGGAATGGTGGAATAAGCAGAAAGGCAAGTCGCAGAATGTCGCCAAACAGGAGTATATCGAATACGTGGAGAAGTTGTCAGCATCGTATCTGTGATCAAGTAGACGGCGCTTGGTTGGTTTTTTTTTTGTTGTAATTTTCTTTTATTTTAATCTAAGTAAACTTTTTCTACAAAATTTTTTAAAAATATAATTAGTCTTAGGCAAGCCTTTTAAAACTTAAGATTCGGCTCAAATTCGGAAAATTTAAAACATCAGCTAATCTTATGGAACTAAATAAATATGAATTTTGTTATTTAGCGGCTTTTTTAAGTTCTTTATAGGCAGCCCAAGTGGAAGTGAAGTCCGTACCCTCAATGACAGCTTATAATTTAGGCTGCTTGCTGTCCCGTTAATTCGCTTTTGTATGCTAGAAACTGACGAATTTAACATTGCGATGTTTTTTTTTAAGTACGACATTTCGCTCGCGTTGGCCCAAAATTGCTCAGCTGTAGGTTTGTATCATTGATTTAATTTAGTTTAAGTGAATTTTTCATATCTCATTATGCAAATGTACTTACTTGTCGATCACCCAGCATTCCCTACCGCACCTTATTATTAGATAGCATCCTATCAGAGCTTGACGATATACATACCATCTCGTATGTCTAATCAGATATTGCAGTTTCCATAAAATCGAAAAATAGAATCAAACTAATTGTGTTTTCGTGCTTTTATTTGACTGATTCGAATCTTTGAAAGGAAAAAGCTCTTATTTTTCGGTTCGACATGCTCGTAACTTTATTTATTAGAAAAATACTTCGATTTCAAAATATTTTACAGGACCATCTTCCTGGCTAAACCGTGAAACATAAACCGCAATAAGTCTCGAAATACGCCCTGTGTCAAATCGAGAAACTTTTAATTTAATATAGCCAGTTGAAGATAAAAAAAAATTATAAAATGTAGAACAATTCATTGAACCCCACGTGGAGAAACAAAAAATTTAGGTACATTGTGGAATCCGTAAATTCGGATATGAGAAACACTGCCTAGACATTTCGAACTTCCACCGGAAATACAGAACGGATGCTTACAGTTTGACAGGCACTGTTTACCACAGTTTGAGTGGTATATGTACATATGTATATTTGGATCGATGACTTGTTATTTCTGTTGATCGTTATGTATGTATGTATATGAAATTTCGTTGAGTACGCTTATTTAATTTCGACATATTTACTAGACTATAGCTGCATTTTTTGTAAAGGAGCGACAAAAGACCGCTCAACTCGGGTAAAATTCATTTTAGCTATTTAAGCAACCCTGTTGGTATCTGGCCTGAAACATTTGCTTAGTTTAACGGGATTTAGACACAAAAACCAATAGAAATGTTTAATTATGCGAGGTATTTTCGTAAAATATATACTTATTTAAAATATAATTCCAACCAGATCGGGTATTTAAACTAAGTTTAAACCACGGCCGTGCGCCGAAAAACTTGCCCTTACAAACTCTACCCTTCCTTCTTTGGGTCCCATAGGAAAATTTCGTAGTCAGCCACAAAAAAAAAGTTGGCAAATTTTCAGCCCTCTATTTTAATTTTTCAGTTCAAGTTCGGGAAAATTTGAATTTTTAATGAAAGTTTATTATAAAAATTTAATGAGCTACAACATGTTTATGTTTTTTTATTTACTTGTTTTTAAGAAAAGTTGCCGAAAAAAATTTTCATTGAAAATTCCTATTTTTGTGAGCGCTAACTAAAAAATGTACATAGGGGGTTGAAATTTTGCTAAACATTTTTTTACAGACAATGAAATATTCATAAAGAATCAAAAGTAAATTGTTGTTTTAATTGACACTACTACTAATAAATAATATAACGTGGAGTAAAAAGAATAAATTTGTACTGTTTTCCTGTAAGCTCAAAATCCCCGCTTATTTTTAAATGTTATTGGTATCCATATCCATGCAGTGCTTTCAAAACTGCTCACTCGAAACCATATCATCAACAACATGTTACTAAACATACATATGTGCATACATACAATACATATCACGCTAAACAAAATCAACAGGTGAGTATGTATAAAAATGCGAACATGTCTGCAACACCATTCCATTTTGCACGAATAAAATTCAAATTCAGCATGAAAGAGAGACCAATAAAGAAAAAAAAAAGCCGGCAAAATTCAACTGTCGAGCGAAATGTGTTGCTCTTCTTCCCTTATTTTATTGTATTTTTTATGAATGAATAGGGACCGCAGCATATACATACTATGTAAATATGTATGTATGTATGCACATAAGTATGTATGCATACATATATTGTAGGTGCAATGTCATAAACACCTACAAGTGCGTGTGAACATGTCTGTATGTATGTAGGTATGTAGGTATTTGAGTACATAAATAGGTACTAACCGATAACAGGTAAAATGAAATAATTTATGCCGGCGTTGGTGGATACTCACAGATACATTCAAACTCAATGCATATGTGTGTATGTATGTTTATGAGGAAACCGAGAGATCGTTTATGAGCGAGAGTAGGACTAACATGTTTCTCGGATACGTGTAAAGATTTCCAATTTAGTCACTTCTTTTCATACAGAAATAAGACCCTGTAGCAATCTCCTTACATTAATGGAACTTTGGCAACAATCTCGAAGCATTTTGAGAAAAGCTTTCGTAACGAAGGTGTTACAAGACCGACGCACTTAAAAATATTCCAAAGTATGTAAAGTAAAAGTGGTTAGAATAATTTCAATATCAATTTTTAGCCGTCTGCCAAAATAAACAAAAGGGTAGACTGGAAAATACTCAGTTCTCAGTTTGTAAATTGAGACACATATTTTTTGTAAGTTTTCGAAGTTTCAGAAACCTGAATACATATTTTCGAAAAGTTTTTGACATTCAACATTTTTCCATTGTTATTGTTGCGTGACTGTATTTCTTATGGGAAAATTATATATAAATCTTATAGGGAAATTATATATAAAATCGTTGGAGTAAAAACCTCTACTGCGTTCTAAAGCTGTGTTTAGATAAAAGTGATAGCTCCACAAGTGTGGTGCCTTAGACTTCAGCGTGAGTGGGTACTAATAGCGTTTTCTTTTCTCAAAAAAAGTTCTGCTCTTTTATATGGAAACTCTTGCTTTGCGTTGCCCTGAAACCTGAGAAAATGTTCCGTTCTTTATATGAGAATGAAACAGAAAATACACTACTCCATCACAATTTATTTATAGAACTTAATAAAGCTGAATTATTCACTTGGCCTGTAAGTGTTTAACAATTTTAATGCAAAACACTTATTTCTGATAGGGAAAATAATTGCATTTTTACAAGTTTAGATTAGAAATCAACCATGCAACTCTCACCCTCACGTTTATTTGAGGACAGAAAAGGCAGCACTTTCGCCGGATCAGAGCGCAACCTGCTGAGAAAAGAACACGACGCCTTGTAAAAGGGCTGAGAAAAGAACATGAAAATATGACAGCGCTAACACAAGACAGAATAAGTGCAGCCTTTTTTCGAGAAAAGAAAACGCTATAAGTGTGTTGGTATTTATCCTCCCCTCCTGAATTTCAATATGAGAGGGTTGCATCAGAGCCACGAAATGTTTATAGTAGTAATCGAAGTAGAATCCATTAAATATCTCCGCCTTTATGAGGTGCTTCAGATTCTGCTTGAAGACGATATTCTCTCCCCAACTTTTTTCAGTCTAACTAAGATTTTTTATACGTGGCCAATCGCATGATATATTCTCTGTGGTTTCCTTCAACAGATTACAGAATTAGCAGTCTGTCTATAAAGAAAGATCCAACCCGAGGTAGTTACTTACCCAACAATATCCCGGCCGATAGCGAGTAAGAGGCCTCATATCCTCCCGGCTAAGAAGTCGTTCAGTAATACTGAGTAGCTCTATACCGAGCTAAGTTAGCTCTTAATACCAGTTACGGCGCTCATCAACTCTACAGCGCTCAGCAGCTCTATTTATGTACAAGGTGGCGCTAAAGTAATCCTCCTATCAGAAAATGCTATAA